TAAGTGCTCAGAATAGTGACTGGCATACATGGAACCATCACTAAATATTTGTTGAAAATTAATGAAAAATGGTAAACCATTAAGCCTAATTTCTTGGTGAATGAAACTGAAACTTGCCATGCCAAAAGCCTAATAATAAACCGTCCGTGTTTACATGTTCAAAGAAAAGCTTCCAGTAATCTGTCAGAATCATGTCAACAACAAGCAGACAACACTTCCCTTGGAATAAATTGCCTGCCCAGGGCTTTGCAGCTCACGAGTACTTTTCCACTCATCCCCTTCATTTCATCCTCTCTCTCCAGGAGACCAGAGCCTTCACCTCAGTGTCTGAATTAAGCAGTGCCTTATCCCTTTCCCATCCTATCAATACTAAGGTATGTGTACCTGTATCATGAAGGACTGACTCTAAGTACTTAGATCTTCAAGAAAGTTCTGTAACTCCCATTTATTAATTCTAAGCACACCAAAAGCTAAAAGCATGACACAGCAAAGCTTAACAAATATTCCTTAAAACTGAAGAGTAGTAGTGGAGGGAGAACAATAATAACTGTTATTAAGAAAAAACATATATCTGTCAGGTGTCAGGCTAAGCATTTTACATCATGCATAACTTCTCATGGTAAACTCAATGCTACAGATGAATACCATTATTTCTTCAGGAAAGTATTACCAACTACTATGATATACACTGACTTTTTTTTAGTGTGTATTTTTTAGTTGTAGGTGGACACAATATCTATTTCATCTTTGTGTTGTGCTGAGGATGGTGCCTCATGCATGCTAGGTGAGCACTCTTCCACTGAGCTACAATGCCAGTCCTGTGTTGACATTTTTTTTTTTTGCTGGAAATTGAACCTAGAACCTCATGCATGACAGGCAAACACTCTACCACTGAAATACATCCCAAACCTTTCTAATATACTTTGAATAAACATTACATTTTTTTACCCTTAAGGCAAGGAAAGTCCTAAACAGAACATGTCATACAATAAAAGGATTCAGAAAAAGGGAAAAAGTTTTTAGGTCAATGTATATCTATTTTTCTAAGCACCTATTTTGTGTCTAGCACTAGTCAAAGAAGCATAGGATACAGAGGCTTAAGATACATTCTTGGTCTTCAAGGAGTTTATAATCCAGTCAGAAGGTGTCCTTTGATCTCAAGCAGATCAAGTTGCTTGTTATAATACCAATATAATTTTTAGAAACATACATATTATATTTTTGCTACCTGACTTTTCAAACATCAGTTACTACTGAAAAAGAAGTTAAAAACATGTTTCCCTCCATTTTATTTGACAATTTCCATCTAATAGTGCTAGCAGCAAAGTAATGACTTTATCAGATTTGAATCCTATTCAATGTGAATAACTCATTAAATCCTATGAAGCCTCAAACCACATAACCTTCCCAATTGAAATACTTCATCTACTCTTCCTCTAGGAGAATTAATTTCAGTTTTCTGAAACTTTCCTTGTTTTCCCCCCCAGAACTCTGAATCTGTCTCTACACTAATAATAAGAAGTATATATACTCAGTGGCTTGGGAGACTGAGGCAGGAGGATTGSGAGTTCAAAGCCAGCCTCAGCAAAAGTGAGGCACTAAGCAACTCAGTGAGACCCTGTCTCTAAATAAAATACAAAATAGGGCTGGGGATGTGGCTCAGTGGCTGAATGCCCCTGAGTTCAATCCCTGGTACGCCCCCACAAGTATATATAATGAGGTAGGAGAGAAGTTGGGGGAATGAGTAGAGATAAGGAGAAAGAAACTAATGTTTGTGGTAATGCTAAATTAATAGTCATCCACATAAAAACCATTGTTGAAAACAGATAATCACTAACACTCATTGTTTATATGTTTTATAGATTATAAAGGCATGCTGTCTCACACATTATCTTCTTTGAGTCTCGACAAAGGCCTGAACTATTTCATAAGAGATAAAAAAAGTAAGGATCTTAGGAGTTAGATGACTTGCCAAAATTCATATCAAGTACAGGTGTCAGAATTAGTTTTCAAATATATATCTTTTAATTCAGAATCAAGGTAGGTAGGAGAGGAGTAGAGGCCCAAGGGCTAAAAGAGAAGATATGGTAGTAGGAAAGAGACAAAGGAGAGGAGAAAAGTAAGAGAAGCCAGGACAATACATAGTATGGAAGTCAAAGACAGAATTTCAAGAACTTGGGGACTGGGGATGTGGCCCAAGTGGTAACKCGCTTGCCTGGCATGCACGGGGCACTGGGTTCGATCCTCAGCACCACATAAAAATAAAATAAAGATGTTGTATCCACTGAAAACTGAAAAATAAATATTAAAAAATTCTCCCTCTCTCTTAAAAAAAAAAAAAAAAAGAATTTGACCCTTCTTAGTACCAAGGCAAGGATACCTGAGAAAGACTTATTTTTTTTTTTTGGGGGGGTGGGGGCATACCGGGGATTGAACTCAGGGACACTCAACCACTGAGCCACATCCCCAGCCCTATTTTGTATTTTATTTAGAGACAGCGTTTCACTGAGTTGCTTAGTGCCTCGCTGTTGCTGAGGCTGGCTCTGAACTCGTGATCTTTTTTTTTTTTTTTTTTTAAATATTTATTGTTTTTTTTAGTGTTTGGCGGACACAACATCTTTGTTGGTATGTGGTGCTGAGGATCGAACCTAGGCTGCACGCATGCCAGGCGAGTGCGCTACCGCTTGAGCCACATCCCCAGCCCCACGAACTCGTGATCTTCCTGCCTCAGCTTCCTGAGCTGCTGGGATTACAGGTGTGTGCCACCATGCCTGGCTGAGAGAGAATATTTTTTAGCAAAACATAATACTATGTTTTTACACTCAAAACAGAGCTTGTTCAAATTATTTGTTACAATGAATTAATATTGCCAAAGTGCTAAGAGGAATGCCCAGAACATGCTTAAGTGTGACATAAGCATTTGTTAAATAAATAATACATAGCCATTCCTAATACTTGTTGATTATATTATGACACAATTTATATAAAAAATACCTGTGTGTCTAGCTAACTTTAATTCTCAACTATCCCATGGGGTGGAGAGTGGAAATAAACAGAATTTTAGCAATATTTCTCAATTCTGAAGAAAGGGAATTAGCATAATTCTGAAGAAATCTGCCTACCTTACAATACATGTTGGCTCATGTGTCCAGTGAACAAAAAACTTTATGGTAATTGTTTCACTTAATCCCATGACCCTAAGAATAAAATCAGGGATAGATTTAGGCCTTGTGGGGCACTACACTTTTAAAACTTARAGGACGCTCTTTAAGAAAAAAAAGAGTAAAAAATACCTTTTACTTATGCAAAACTTACAAAACGATAGGACCATAAGAGCACATTGGTAGGGCTCTCCCCAAGGGCCTTGGAAGGTACCATTGCAAGTGAGATGACCTCAAGTTTAAGCTCCATGGACTGCATGATATATACTTTTCTGTTAGATATTGAAAACAGAGACAGAGAAAGGTAATAATATRAGACTCTCCCGAAGCCGTCACTACCATTCAGATTAATTCTGCCTGATTCTAGTGCTTGTTCTTTTACCATCACATTATCTTGCTTCCATGAAAGTTTAGTCTAGTTTATAAAACTAGTTTATAAAACTTCTGTACATAAATATGGAGGGGGCAGAATGTACTTACAGGGCAACAGAGGCTAAAGATTAATAGTATTTTAAAGGTTGGCTTAGTAAATGACTTCAAGATCTGCCAGTTCTACATAATCCTCATCCTATAGTAAGAGCATCCCATAGGAAATATTTAGGGTTAACCTTCAASGTTTGGTTCTTTCAACAATGGATGGATACTAAAGTTATCCTGTCAAATCAGATCATGCCACTCCTCTGATTTGAAGCAGAGAGATTCCACCTACTTTAGAATAAAAGCCTTCCTGTGGTCTACCAGCTCCGATATAACCTGGTCTTTGCCTATTTTTTCAATGTTATCTCTCATTACTTTTCTTTTTCTTACTATTCCTAGTCAAATGAGCCTTCTTCTCATTCTTAAATAAGCCAGTCCTGTAGATGTCAGGCCTAGCTTGTTATTCAGCCYGGAATATACTTCTCTTAGACTTTCTCATTGTTGGCTTCTCTGGGTTTCAGCACCAAATTACCTCCTTATGAGAAAAACATCTGATGCTCTCCTCTCTACAGAAGAATGTCTTAGATCTTCCACCATATATACTTTGTTATATTTTTTTTTTTCATAAAATTCATCATTTGAAAAGTTTTACAGATTTACTTATTATCTTTTGCTCCTAAAGAATAAAAATTCCAGGAGAAGTGAAACTTTGTCCTTGTTCACAGCTATACCCCCAGTTTCTAGAACAGCAGTACACAGTAGTAAGTGATAAGTATTTGCTAAAAGAATAACAAATGAGTTCCACGTGGTGACTCACATCTATAATCCTAGCTACTCAAGAGGCTGAGGCAGGAGGATTACAAATTCAAAGACAGTGAGGCCCTGCCTCAAAATAAAAATAAAAAGGACTAGGGAGGTAACTCAGTGGTAGAGGGCCCAAGTTCAAACCCTAGTAATAGAATGAATAAGTAAACAAACAAACAAACAAACAGCCTGTCACAACTCAGTTCTGAAAAATTAATCTAGACTACGAAGAATACCAGGTTTGAACTGATCTGCTTAAAATTACTCAGGCAATTTTCAATAGTTATTCTTTCTAAATCCTCCATTTACATCTATGAGGAGTGTCAAAAGACTAATCTAACAAAAGGAGCATAATAGTCAAGGTCCTTGTAATTCTATCTTATTAATCTACTTTACGTCAATTATGAAGTTAAATTTGTATGTTACACTAAAAGTATATGYTTGTTCCTGAATTCTGACAGAATAGGAATGTTTAGCAATGCATAACTTTATTATTGTCTAAAATATGTAACATTAAGATTCATAGTCTTATATTCAGAATTTAAAAAACACAAGTTTATATTATATAAACAAATACTTATTATATAGTTACTTTAAGCATTGTAAATAAATACATACCTCCCAAAGCTCCACTGTAATCTAGGCTTTTCTTTTTAAAGCCATTAGAGACAATCAAAACAGGAACAACAACTGAAAATAGCCAACGCCAGGGAGAAATAGGCCGTAAGTTACCTGAAAAGTTATAAATATACAGCATGAGTCATGTGAAGTCTGCATAGTTTAGTTTTGTGAATCAGCTTTGCTAACAGCATTCTGGATCAAATACTGTCCTAAGTAGAGGAACTGAGATAAGTCATCAAAGTAGAACATTTATGCTGAGACTTATGTATTTTCAGAGGGGTAGTCTTCCAGGGGAATAGTCACTATTTCAAAGTTTTCAGAACTTTTTATAGCTATTTATGATGAAGAGTATCTCAAACATTTTTCTAAAGGTTGCATCCAGCTCACAGATATTTTGTTTAGTTCATGGATATTTTAGCTAGCATAGTATTTTCAAATAATTGAGTCAATATTTAAAGATGAGGAAATTTCATATAAAAATTCCTATTCTTCTGTTTAAAAGAGAAACGGACCAACATGGCAGAATCAACTGAAGAAGAAAGGCCACCTCCTTTAGAGGGGCCACAACCTTTCCATTTAAAATTTTCACCACTGGTACTAAAACTGAATGATTTCTTTATGGTAAAGAAAAACATGAATAACTGCTTATGTCCATATTTTTATAAAAAATGGGAAAATAAAAGACAAAGAAGGTCAAGTTAACAACACAAAATAGGAAAAATCCTATTTCTGGATGTGAAAACTATTGATCYATGTCTAATATGCAAAAATCTGCACAGCTTCCTTCATTTGCATCAGGCACTTGGGCCTAGGGGGACACTTCAGTTTAGACATTCTAGTTCTTTCTATTTAGTTACACAAGAAGTTTCTTCTCACCTCCTTTCCCTCAAACCCTCTCCCCTACTATGCATCATTATCAATAATCAGTCCCAAAAGCTTCTGTACAACAAACACCTGATTATTTATGTCTTTTTGCACAAGGACTAAGTTCTTTTTTTTTTTTTTTTTTTTTTTTTAAAGAGAGAGTGAGAGAGGAGAGAGAGAGAATTTTTTAATATTTATTCTTTAGTTCTCGGCGGACACAACATCTTTGTTGGTATGTGGTGCTGAGGATCGAACCTAGGCTGCACGCATGCCAGGCGAGCGCGCTACCGCTTGAGCCACATCCCCAGCCCCAAGGACTAAGTTCTGAAAGAGCAATCATAATCACATAACCATACATGAGTTCACTTTCTCATTCTCCTTACCACTTTTTCCTTTGTCATGAACTGACCACTGCTGTTTTTATAGACGTATCAAGGAACTTTGTATACAGGCACGCTTATGCTCTAAAGCAGGATCTGAATCCAAAGTGCCTAATATTTATACAAAGTGGCTTCAGGCTTTAAATGGAGACCTTTTTTTTTTTTTTTTTTTGCAGTGCTGGGGATCAAACCCAGGGCTTTTGCTTACTAGGCGAACATTCTAAGATTGAGCGATACCCTCAATCCTAGAGTTCTTATGAAGTTATCAAACAGCAGACAAATCCTTCAAATCCTTTAAATTTCCAAATGTAAAGATTATACTGCCTTTAATTTTTATTACAGAATACATAAAATTGATAAATTGTATTACAAATATTCTCATCAAAATTAAAATATCACTGAAATTGCTTCACAAATGTTTTATGGTGCTTATTTTTCACCAAAGTGGATAAAATAATTATATGAAATATAAAGACATTTTGAGTTAGGTATAAAGAGTATTACCATAAAGAGCATTTACTAACGATTTAAAAATGTTCATGGAACTGTTTATATTATCAGGTTAGTAAACTAAATTCAGGCTATCAAAGGTAAGACACACAAACATTCACAACCATTCAGAGGATGTGTGTGGAGAGCACATATGTTCTGCTCTGAGTTGCTTCATGCTGTATAGACCTGCAGTGCCTAGCCCTGAGTTACTCCATTTTATAAAGCAGCAGTTTGCCATGAGCTGCTCCATTTTGAGTACAAGTGCTTAGGCGAAAGACTTGGTAATTCGTCTGGGTAAACAGATAACCACAGATATTGTACATACCGAACATAGTGACAAATAACCCTTAGATGCACAAAACAATGTGCAAACTGATACAATACATTAATTGTGCTAATTAAAAATGACCACGAGTGAACTTATTAATTTAAATCAGCACATGGTGCACAGGTGTTTCAAACCCACAACAGAAACCAGGCATGCCTGTGAGTTTATGAAGTTTCACTAGATGCCACATCTTTATCTGAAACACACAAAAAGGAAGAGAACCTAAYGGCATGGGACACACTGAGCCCCTCACCACATCATCTCAACACATCAAGAGGTTGAGAGGTAACCAAATTCCTGTCTCCAGGCCTTCAGCTCAATTTGATCTCCCTCCTTGACACAGCCCATTTGAAATTGCCTAGAATAAGTTCCCAGCCTTGACAGCTCTTTTCCCTGAATAAATTCTTTGGTAGGTTTATAATTTTATCTGACCACCTACACGACTCTTTTGCACTTGTATCTGCTCTCTGCTTTGCAGTCAGTGTAGCCTCCAGAAACCCCTGGATCACTGTTAACCATTCCTGAAAATTATCTATCTTTGCATAAAGTGAGTATTACAGATATTAATAAATATTGGAATGGAATAAAAGAATTTGTGATTGTCTCAGTTATGACGCCAAGTAAACCATGACTATTTTTGGTGAATTAACACTGATAAAAGTTACATAGCTTGTGAATTTGTTATTCAATAAATTCTGATATTGTGAAAAGAGACAAATATGTCTGGTCTATGCTAACAGCATAGCTTGCTCACGACGTGAGTTTTGGATTTTATAAAGGTACAGTCTCAAATTCCACCAACTACAGAAAAACAATTTAGAACATTCCTACTTACCATAATAGGTGCTAGCAGTCATTGACATAATCCAGAAAGCTAAGGAAATGCATATGATCAGGCTCAATATTACTATGTTTGTAATCATCTTCATGTATCTTTTGCATACAGWGTCATCAAGATCTGTCATGGAAAATAAGGATATGAACACCTGAGGGAGAAAACAGAACGTTTCTAAGAGAAAGTCATTTAAGTTGCCTCCAAAACACTCATTTAGAGGCAAATATAGATTCCAACATCTTCCACCAACACAAAAAGAAATATAAACTCAAACTCCTTCCAGAAACGTGCTGATGGAGAGCTCCAACTCGTCTGGGAGAGAAGGCTCACTGTTATAAGCAGGGGTGCACCCTCTAGGGCTGGGTCTCCACACACTTGGTTTGCGCTGGGACTCCACGGGAAAGGCGGAAGGGAAAGCAAGGCAGCCACTAGGCAGTCAGATCTGGAGAGCTCCGCCCACCGCCCGTCGCAGCCTCCCCGCATGCCTTCGACCCGAGCAGGTCCTCAGTTGCAAACAGGCAAAATGAGGCACCCGAACCTGGGCGAGTCGGGGAGCCGAGCCCCAGGCGGCCGAACGCTGACACGTCCCGACAGCTGCCTGCGCTGGCCCAGGTCCCAGTCCAGCTTGCCAGGGCCGACAGCCCTGGACCCCAGCTCGTGCTTCACGGCCCTTTTCCCCCTTGCGGCTGGCGTCTGTGCGCAGGCGCTGTAGTCCGTCACGAATCCGCTTCGCCCACTTGAGCGTTTAAAGGGGAAGCGTCCGGGAGGTGCTGGAAACCTGACCCGACGCGTTTGCTCTGCGGTGTTCCTAARCCCTTAGGTTTGGTGACGTCCTAGACCGGGTAAAGTGAAACTGCGAGCAGCGCAGTAATGGAAAAACGAGATGTAACTGATTTTAGAATCAGTAAATGCATTTCAAGCATAATATTCTTATATTCTGTGAGGGCATGCCAAATAACGTTATGACTATTTGGGGAGAGGAGAATATGTTATGTTGTAGAAATGGAATTTTGTGGCTTAGGAAATCATTTAGAACACACAGTTTAGCTGCGAGCGGTTGGCACTGCCTGTAATCCCAGACTTTCTGGAAGCAGAATGATTGCACGTTGAATGTCAGCTTTGACCCTGTCTCAAAATCCAAAATAAAAAAGGCTGTGGATGGAACTCAATGGTGAAGTGCCCCTGGGTTTAATCTCAATACCGCAAATAAATAAACGAAAATAAAGTAATAATTGAAACACGCTGTTTAGTCCCTATATGGGCCAGACTCTAAAGATAAAGCTAAACTTCCTGCTATTAGATTCTCATATAATTATTTTCATAACACCATTTAACATTGTGAAAACGTCTGCCCTCGCACTCATATTTAAAGTATGTGCACTCATATTTAAAGTATGTGCCTTCGATTCAATTTATTTAAAAAGCGAAAGTCTTCTTAGCATTAATAATTCATCTTAGCTGATTTTGTGTTTTATTTGCAATTAATATTTTGTTTGCCTTAGTTAATAGTAACTGATAATTATATTTCTGAATTTTTTTTCAGTTAATTTCTGATAGTATAGGAAGAGTAAAGACCGGTTCAGATGGTTCACAATGGTGGCTTAACCCAGTAGTTACTTTTAAAAAACGCATATTATTTCCACTAACAGTAATTACTTTTTAAAAACGCACATTATTTTGAATCTCTAAATACAATTTACATGCCTTTTCTTTGGTAAAACATCTAATTAGCTAGTCAACAAGACCCAAACCTGTTCAGTAGTTCTAAATATAGTAGGCTTGTTTTTATTGGACTGTATATGTTCCTTCTATAGAAATTTATTATGTACCCACTTTATTTTTGTCTGTTTTGCATAGACAATCAGAATTACCCKTCTAGTATTAGTGTTACCAGACTACAGACTATTGTGTAGTTACAATTAATAATAAAAGCAGATGTTTTTATGGCTTGCAGTGACCTTGTTGTTTTTGGTCTCTCCTTAAACAAAATTATGAATTGGTCTTGTTTGTTTTGCTTCATCACAGTCATAGGGAGACCTTGTCCATCAGTTGGTGTTCGCAGAAGACCACCATCTACAATCATCAGGCAATTCCCTTAAAAACATTGAGGTCTATCTGTGTCAAGTCAGTTCCTATTGTTTCTTGTAATTGTTGGATCTGGTTAAAATTGCATATTAAATCATAGTACCAGTGAACTGACCCTTTGTTACCGCTGTTTACCAGTCCTTGCTTCCCCGAATGCTGAAGTATAACACCAGAGAAGCATGTGGAGGCAAGTGAGAGTGGAAAGTGGAAGGCTTTATTAAAGGACAGCAGAAAAGACTTCTCCTGAGAGGAAGGGGACCCAAAAGGTGGAATTGTGGAAGGGCGAGGTCTTCCCTTTTTTATAGCTAAGGTCTTCTTTTAGTTTTCCCACATTCATGTCCTTTGTTTCCYTTTATCTTGCAGTGATAGAATGCGCTGGTGGGAAGGCCAAAAGGTGGGAGATAGATGGGTTGGGGGAGTAATCTGGGCAGGAAGGGCCTGTGGTAGCTGTTTGCTGGGAGCTACTTCATTAACATTTCCTTAGGATGGGTTCCTGGACTTGGGGACATTAACATTTCAATTTCCCCAAGTGCTGCTCTGGTTTCCTGGACTCCATTCTCAATAATGGTCTCCATTTTCTTTATCTTACTCGATATTAGACCCGATTTACCTAACTACACTATCAACCTACCTTTAAATCTGGCTTCACCTTCAAATGAATATTTCTCCTCCAGGGCACAAGTATTGGTGGTGTTCTCCATAAAACAAGCTATTCTAGCTTAAGACTGAAATCATTTGGGGGAATTGAAGTAGCCAATATTAAGATAGTATTTTGTGAATTATTTTTATAATCAGAAAATATTTTAAGATCACAATCTTTTTGTTGTTAAAACAATGCTTTGATAATCATCTACAATTAAATCTTTGTGAGGGCCTCATATTCTCAGAATAGACTCCTAGAAAGAGCACTTTTATAGYCCTTAATATATCTAGCRTAAGTTGCATAAGCAGCATTTAAAATAGTGCAAATAAACTATAATGTATATTTATATATAACTTCAGCAACAAATGGGAAACTAATTCCTCTTCAGTGATTTAAAGATCATTGTTTTACAATTTGCTTCAACTTAGGAAGAAGGAATTCTGCAGAATCTGGCGGGGGAGGGGGGTCAAATTGGGGAAGGACTTAACTCAGGAATGTTTGTAGTTTATAGAAATAACAGACATGACAGTAATTTCCTTGGAAAAAAGTATTTAATATTAACAAACTTCAAATACATTTTTGTGAATACAATATGCAGTTGTTGAATATACAGTACAAAATCCTTAATTTTAGAAAGCTTCCAACTGTCCAGATATCAAAAGAATCCTATTTCTTGTATAAAGATGAGCCATTTTCCATATCAAACCAAAATTAAAATTGACCCGTATTCTAACACTGAGAAATGAGATAAAACAAACATTAAGTCTACCCAGAAAAGAACAATGACCTCATAGATTATCTGTATATACACATAAAATTTTATATATATATTTTTAGATGATTTGTATTATTTTAATAACTAGATTTATGTTAAAGGGTTAGAATGTGGAGGGCAGAGGGAATTTGAAGGCAGAAGACCTGTGTTCATTCTAGAATTTTTTTAGACCACAGTCATTTATATTTCTTCTTTTTTAAAAATTTGTTTTTTAGTTGTAGATGGACACAATACCTTTATTTTACTTGTTTTTATGTGGTGCTGAGGATTGAACCCAGGGCCTTGCACGTGCTAGGTGAGCTAGGCAAGCGCTCTACCACTGAGCCACAATCCCAGCCCAAGGCATTTCTACTTCTAGTGCAAGTTGGCACAGTAAATGTCTGAATAAATAAGTTAAATCAACAGAGGATTCTTATGAAAATCAGATACTACCACCTACCACACTTAAGTTTTTAAAGAAAAAGTAAGAGAACAAATGGATGCCAACTGTTTTTTAAAGATTGAGTTACTTTATTTTAGAAATCTATAATAGGGTTTGTTATTTTGTATAAAATATCAAATTTCAAATAAACTCCAGTACTTAGCTTTGATGTAATATTTTCTTTATAGCTGTTTTCCTTTTAGCAAAGATTCTATTACAGATTAGATCAGTGTTCATTTTAAAGGGTAAAGATGCTCACATGCTCAGAAAAATTCAGTTCAAACACCAATGTCCTTCTACCTCCTTTGGTAAGTCTATAAGAAGAAATCTGAGCTGGGTGTGGTGGCCTGTCGTCTCAGCCCTTAGAGGATCCCTTGAGTTCAGGAGATTTAAGACCAGCCTGGGCAAAACAGTAAGATCCCAATCTCAAAATAAATAAATAAGTTTCATTTCAAAAGAAAATTATTTGATTATATGTTCTCATTGACTTCTACTTCCAGTTTTTTTCAAAGCACTTTATACCTTTTGTAGCATTTTCATATGGTATTATAAATATTTCTTTCACGAAACTTTGAGCAACATAAGGGCAGAATATCACATTACATTCATCTTTTTTTTTTTGGATTTAACATAGGCCCTTTTGTGAGCTAAGAACACTCTACTATCACAAAGGTACACCTCCAKCTCAATATTCACCTTTATATCATATCCTTTAACTATTTGGTTAATTGCCAGTAGACCCAATAAATGAACACAGGATCTGTGTTGTGTTCAGCCAAAGAAAGTTATTTGGGTTAGTTTTATGGTRTTCGTGCTAAAATCTATCAGTAAACTGAATATAGGATTTATACATTTTTTCTTACATTTTTCTCTGTGAATGAAGTTTGTCTTAAGGTGGACAGATATCCGTTAATAAAATAATTTAATGCAGGAAGGATTTTGAGCACGTTACCAGTATAGCAATATGAAAATTATAAGGTGAAAACAAAAAGAAATTACTCTAAAATTGCTGAGTGGTAGCTGATTTCAATGGTGTCAAATAATAGTGAATTATGATTACACTTGCTAAAAGCTTATTGTATTTTATCTAATTTTTATGATTTTTAAAATGTTATCAAGATACTGTGTATAGAAACAGGTTGCATTAATGCTTTGTTTTGTATTTGGAGTGGGAGGGGTGAACTGCATGAGATTCTATACTTGGAAAATTTATGTTAAAATGATTATTTGCCCAACTTACTTTGAGTTAAAAGTAAATATTATCAGAGTGTTTGTTGATTATAKACTGATACTTGAGATTATATACTGGCACTTGGGATTATATAAAGGAATTTGAAACTATATTAGGAAAAAACATGCAGTAATAATTCTAAAGAATTATGTCCAATAGTTATAAAATAACTAACAAGGTTCATACCGTCTTCAAAAGGATTTTCATAAATACTTTTATAAGTACCACATGAGAACTAAGAGACTTTTTTTTTTTTTTTTTTTTAGTACTGGGGATTGAACTCAGAGGCACAGCTACATCCCTAGCCCTTTTATTTATTGATTGATTCATTCATTTAATTTGTTCTAATTAGTTATACATGACAGTAGAATGCATTTCGTTTCATTGTACACAAATGGAGCACAACTTTTCTTTGATTGTACGTGATGTTGAGTCACACCATTTGTGCAATCAATACACAATGGAATATTACTTAGCATTAAAAGAGTAAAAATAAAATTATGGCATTTGCAGGTAAATGGATGGAGATGGAGAATATCATGCTAAGCAAAGTAAACCAATCCCAAAAAAACCAAAGGCTGAATATTTTCTCTGATAAGTTTATGCTGATCCATAATGGGGGGGAGAGGGCATGGGAAAAATGAAGGAACTTACTTTTAATTTTGAAACAGGATCTTGCTAAGTTGCTAAGGCTGTTCTTGAACTTCTGATCTTCTTGCCTCAGCCTCCTGTATTTCTTGGATTAYAGGAGTAAACTACCACTCCTGGCTGGAACTAAGAGATTTTTTTTTTTCTAAGAGACTTTTTAAATGACTAGTGTCATTAAAAAATAAAAATAAAAAAGTAATCTAAACAGTTGGCAAAAGAAAAAATGTCATTTCTTTACAGGAAACATTTGTAATAATTTATGTATGTATATGCTACTTTCTTACAGTAGTATTAAGCTTGAAGTAGGATTAAATAACTTTATCATATATTAATAAATTTTACATGATTTGACAAAAGTTTTTGGGAAGAAAGCGTTCTTATTAAACATTTGATGAAATAAAGTAGACCCTTTAATTGTTCAAGTGGTGACCATAAGAATAGTTCTAATATCTTATACATTAATAAGCATAGGATAGTTTTTAAAAAATATTTTTTAGTTGTAGAGGGACACAATCTTTATTTTTATGTGGTGCTGAGGATAAAACCCAGTGCCTCACACTTGTGAGGCAAGTGCTTCACCAATAGTCCCAGCCCTTGGATAGTTTTATTACATGTATTTTTTATACAGAACTACATTTTATTTCTCTTATGAAGTATGGTTGCTGTTTGTTCACTTAAAAGAAAAGAGATAAAAAGCAATCTGGTGTGCAAGATAAACTGATTCCATTTTAAGTTGTGAATTATGAAGATATAAAATGGTAAATACTTTTCTGTGATTACATTTTACTGTGAGTTTACAAAGAAGGAAGAGAAGCCCACAATACTTACTGAGATACATAAGAATTTAATGARCTACAAAAGAATTTAAAAGTAGTTAAAAAACAAAAAGCTTCAAGAGTTTTGCTGTCAACACACATGAGAGCAGAGCTGAATAGGGAACTTGGTATTAGGGAATTTGCTTATTAATGCACCAGCTTTGAAGCTGGAAATGTAATATTTTTATTATAAGAAAAAAGTAGTACACATTTATTTGTTTTATTAAGAACAAGCTAAATCTTGAATTTTTCATTATTTAAAACATGTTTTCTTGGAAGATGAGCATAATCAGCTATTAGTTTTTTCTACTGTGAGGTACTTGAGGACTCATTCATGGTCTGGATAACTCAAAGGTACTTCATGTTCAAAAAATAACTATTTTTAAAACCTATTTTAAAATGTAATATTTTTATAAGGATATAAGGAAGGCCATGATAAACTTACTTCTACGGGTAAGAAAAATACGGGAATAAAAATAAATAAAAGAATGTCCCTGTACCTCAGTTTTTTTTTTTTTTTAAATATTTATTTTTTAGGTGTAGATGGACACAACACAATGCCTTTACTTTTATGTGGTGCTGAGGATCAAACCTGGGTCCCGCCCATGCAAGGCGAGCGCTCTACCACTGAGTCACAATCCCAGCCCTGGTACCTCAGGTTTTGTTTGTATAAATTTTAAAACAGCAATGCCAGTCATAATTTAATTAATGCAAATCTAACAATTTCAAAGTCACGTTTAATGCAAGTAATTCCTACTTAGCATCTTCTTTAAAATGTAATATCCCAACTTTGGTACAGGAAAAATTTTTTTTCTAACATAAATTAAACATATTTGTCATAAGCTGTTCTTTAACAGTAGTTAAAAATAAACTTTGCAAACATGATTTTCTGGCAAAATTTCTAAGTACATAATTCTCATGTAAGGCACTTCCATTCATTCTCAAAAAAAAAGTTTCATAAAAAGTTTTCTATTTTCTTTTGYAATCAAGTTTTCATAAGTTATAAAGTAATTATGTTACTTCAAGTAAAACTTTATTAAATACTAAATTTTGGCATAATTGCCGTAAGTATTTTTACCTCTGAAAATAATGAAGGATGGTCATCAAGTTCTGTGGAAGATAAACTTAAAAGATAATCTTGGTCTGTTTAGATTTAGAGAATTGGTAATGTTTTATCCTGTTGATTTTGTTCAACAATCTTGAAATCTTCCAAAGGAAGATTGCTTAAGGCAGTTGGTAAAATCTGTTCTGATGTGCCCTTAGGTAATATGTTATTTGCTTCTAAATTCTTCACCAAGCATGTGGCTTTGATCCATCTTCGAGTTGCTCTWCGTTCTTTTTGTAGGCAAGTTTTCATTTTTCTTCTTAAGCTTGCTATTTCCTTTTCCAGTTTAATTATCCTTTTTTTGGCCTCCATTGGATTCCTAAAGGCATAACTGTGTTCAAGTAGTACTTGTTGACTACTAATGTTTGATTTTAAATTAGATGGTCCTGCTGGAGTACAACTGTTGTTTTTCTTCAAAAGATTCCTTGACTTGAGTTTCTGAGCCAAATAAAATTAGAGAGTTGAACATAAATTATGGAATACCACAAATAAGTAAATACTCCAGTTTTGGAGTATTTAAACTACACTTTAAGAAATGATTTTAAAAGTTTGCTGGGAAAACAGCAGGCTTTTTCATGTAATCATGGATCAAGTTTCTTGCCTGGCTGAATGAACTCTAGTCACCTTTTGTCCTTTATCTCCAGAGATATTCAAACATTGATTTTGAAATAAACAATGGACTGCCAAGGTGTCTTCCAAATTACTGAGCATGATTCTATGGAGACTTTAAAAATCCTTTGCAATTTTCCTACTTAGGCCAATTTAGAAATGTAGACATTTTGTTTATCTGTGTGATAATTGCTTTGATTTCCTTTTTAGTTAAATACTATTCTCTCAATTTGATAAATTAAATACAAATTGAAGGAACATATTCTCAAGTATCAAGCTTCTAAATAGACTTTATCTATTAATTGTTCACAGTTATATCTTCATGGATTTAAAATCTGGCTAAATTTTTGCCTAAATCAGAAATCTCAGGACACTTTTGTCCAATATACTCTAAGAATATCAAATGATTCCTAGATTATATCTTCATAACACTGTATCTTTCATTCATTACATAAACACTGAAACACTACTATGAATTTCTGGGGAAATAATGGTGAATAAATAAGACAGGTGATTCCTGTTCTCATGAAAACTGCAATTGCTCTCTACATAAGGAATTGGCAGGGTCTTTCTTTTTTGCTGTTTATATTTTCGGCATCTATCTTAGATTATTATTGGATGAATAGAATATCAAAATATCAGAAATAAGGTACATTTTGCCATACTTGGTGGCACATACCTATAATCCTAACAACTTGAGAGGCTGAGGCAGGAGGATTGCAAGTTTGAGGACAGCCTCAGCAATTTAGTGAGACCCTGTTTCAAAAAAACAAAAAATGGTGGGGAGGCTTAGTGGGTAAAGCACCCCTGTGTGTAATCCCAATGCTTGGGAGAGGAGTGCAGAAAAGAAAGAAATAAGGTACATTTTAAATTTAGCAGATACTTAAGTACTATATTATGTTCCAGGCAGTGTGAGAGGCTTACGTGTTGAAAATAGTGAAAAAGTTCTGAAGCTTGTTTAACATTTGTGATGTTAGGAAACCAGAAGCTCCTTAATCATCCAGATACTCATATCCACTTACAGCATCCGCCCCCCCACCCCCACGGGGGTGGGGGGTTCCCCCTCTCCACCGCCCCCCCCCTCACAAATTTAAGCATCACAAATACCTCAGGGAAAAGTGTTGTTTTTCCTTTCCAAAGAAAAGAAGTCTGTCCTTTTCAAAGGGAAACCCCCTATTTGTGTTTATTCTCCTTTTTTTTTTTTTGGTGACCTTTCTCTGATCAGATCTTAACTTGATAAAAATTCATTCATTCATCTCTCTTTTATTTATTTTCTCCTTCCATCAAAATATCACTTTCAATATTTGATAATTTCCCACTCATCATCAACCCAATGGCTTTGTTCTTAATTTCAATTACAGTTGTTCTGTACAAGATAAAAAACCTCCCAAGTTCCAAGACTCTTAAGTCCTCAAGTCTAGACTGAATGCTTCAGCTCTGTCAAGTTTTCTGTCATGCCTCCCTCTAAACAAAGGGAGGCATTTCCTTTGGTATAACTTAGAATTTGTTGCYCTTAAAGCACTGGGGACATATTATATGCATGTCATCTTAAAATTGGAACAGAATGCTGCTGGAGTTGTATTACTACTATTTCTAAGTTTCACCAATGGTATATTTATTGATAATAATCAGTACTTGGATAATAATTGGTAAGATTCCAATACAGATCAAGTGTCCTTTGTTAGAAATGCTTTGGATCAGAAGCGTTTCAGATCTTTTTCAGATTTTGGAATATTCCATAAACTTTATCAGTTAAATATCCTTAATCCAAAAATTCACATTAGGACTGCTCAATCTGGATAGTAAAACAATATGGCTTGGTGAAATAATATTGGAATCAGGACATCTGAGTTCTAATTCTACCCTGTGCCTTTATTACACAAGAGGAAGATCTATAACTTTCTTGAGGCATATTGCTGTATGTGAATTTTTCTATATTCTGAATTTTATCTTCTATAAATAAAAAGGAACGGTTTCTAAAAATGGTTTTTGAAAAAAATAACATTACATACCATAGACTTTATATGGGTACAAAAATCAAAAATGGTTGGAACAGCATCCATTTTAAGTCGTCGAGTTTGTCCTGTTAGGTCAAAACAGGAGGCTTCAAAGTGCTTTGAACAAAGAAAAGTGTGTTTTCCTGGTACAAAGTTTTTGCGTCTAACTAGGCGAACCCATTCTTTTCTTCTTTTAGGATCCAAAGGAAACCTTAAAACAAACAAACCAAAAAGGCAACTCAAATTCCAACTAGCATACTTCTGGCTGTACCTAAATGGTTAAAAAAAATTTAAAAGTGTCTCCCATTTACATAAAAAAATTTAAACTCATAATATCCAGATATAGAAAAGAAACCAATTCATGCTGAGTTTTATAAATTGTTAAAAAAAATTATAAAAAATGATTGAGCAGATTTATTTTTCACAGACTTTTAAAAGAGACATTTCTTACCAGTTCTTAACATGGATAGTAAAATAAAACATGACTAAACTTATCTAGATAAATTTTATGTAGAACTATTATAAGCAGCAGCAAATTCACAATGCTGTGATTTGTGCTTGTTGCGTAAAGATTAAATTTTATTAAGAAAAGTCTGGGAAGATTCTGGCACTCCTTCCTGTGTTCCATAATTATAATACCACAGTATTCTGTAATTTTTCCATTTTAATAAATTTCAAGTAAAATAAATTGGGATCATTATTATTTTTTTAATTTATTTATCTTAGACACCTAACACAGTATCTTGCAAATACAAGGAACTCAACAAAAATTTGCTATATTAATATGATACAGATATTTATTTACTTATATTTTTTATGGTACTGCCGATTGAACCCAGGGCGCTTAATCACTGAGCTACATCCCCAGCCCTTCATATATATGTATTTTAATTTTGAGACAGGGTCTCACTAAGATACTTAGGACCTCCCTAAGTTGATGAGGCTGGCTTTGAACTTGCAATCCTCCTGCCTCAACCTCCAGAGCTGCTGGGAGTACAAGCACACGCCACCCTGCAGGCTTTATTTTTTGAGACTAAGTTGCTGAGGTTGGCCTCAAACTTGTGATCTTCCTGCCTCAGCCTCCCAAGTAGCTGGGATTAGAGGCATGTGCCACTGTGCCCATAATATTTCAATTAATTCACTGTATTATTTCCATGTAGTTAAACTATATATATATATATATTTTTTTTTTTCTTTTTTTAAACCAACTCAATTTATATAGTGTAGCAGAAAGTAAAATCAGAAAAACTCAAAATGCCATTCACCAATGTTTTTYCCTTCATATTTCTCTCAAAAACCAAATAACTGACATGTACCTAATGTATACTTGTTAAGGAAGAAACAAATATACAAGGGCTGTCTCTAAAAATCTGCTAGTAACTGTGATGACTGACCACTCTTCTTTAGTTTAAGTATTAATTATGAACTGACTTGTATATAAAAAGAACTAAAAAAAAAAAAAAAAAAAAAAGGATCATAGCTAGGGATATAGCTCAATGATATAGCACTTGTCTAGCATGTGTGAGGCCCTGGGTTTGATTCCCAGCACTGTGGGTGGTGGTGGTGGTGGGGCTGAATAATCCACATCAAATATGTGCTTCAGAAATTCTGAAGTGAAACTTCAGGACTTTGGAGGTTATAGATTTTATACTATCCTATAGAGTCCTAGTTTTACATTGCTAGTGATGACAGACACAAAGAGATGAAAGTCCAAATTTCGAGTAAACATTGCCCATCTCCTGTCTTCAAGGCTAGTCTCAACAACTTAGCAAGACCTTGTCTCTAAATAAAAATATTTTAAAAAGGCTGGAGATATGGCTCAGTGGTTAAGCACTCCTGGGTTCAATCCCTAGTACCAAAACCAAATAAAACTAAACAAAACTAAAACCCAAAATCTTTGTTYCATTATTTTAGTGGTTTGGAAATGTTTCCTAATCCAAAGATAAAAATCAGACCTTAGTTAATTTCTTCTTGGGGTCTCAATGGAGACTCAAAACAAATAAATACAATCACTGTATTTTCATTTGCATAAAACTCTTCAAATACAGAAAGACTGACTTTCAGATGTTATTTTTCAGCTGGATTTTTTTGGTACCACAGATTGAACCCAGGGGCACTTAACCACTGAACTATACCCCCAGCAGCTGGGATTACAGGCATGTGCCATGATGCCCTGCTCAGCTTCTTATTTATTTATTTTTGGTGCTAGGGATTGAACCCAGGGCCTTGTGCATTYGAGGCATGCACTCTACCAACTGAGCTATATCCCCAGCCTCTTATTCTCTTTTTAAAAGCCCTGTTTTAAAACTGTTCCTTGATTATGAAACCAGTGCGTCAAATGGAACCTTAACTTGACCATATTGTGCTTGCTTCTTTTAAGACTTTTAGGAATCCCATTTTACTAAGAACATTTTTTCTTTATCAGAAGACTGGGTTAGATGTTGCTATATCATATATCACTGAAATCACTATATTCTAATTATTTACCTTTCCAGCTCCCCACTAGATTTTAAGTTTCTGCAGAGTGAGGTTTAGGTTTTTGACTACTTTATCCCTGGGTCTATCATTATTATCTACCATAGTGCCTGTTAAGYACTTGAATGTTTTTGAATCAATAAATAAATGAACTAATGGGGCTAATGTGGCATTATCAAACAATCTTTAGATTATCCATTCTAAAATAGAATAATAATCAACAATTTTATATTTGATTTTGGTATAATTTTATATAGCATTAATCTTAACCAGGTTTTGTATGTGTCATCTGAATTTTTCACAGTATATTTAAAGGGTAGAAGATGTAGCCATCAGCCAAATTTAAGTAGTAATAAACCATCTTATAAATATTAAAAAACTAACATGGTGGTAACAGATATATTCTTTTTTTTTGTTTTTCTTTCCTTTTTTAAATTGATTTTTAAAAAAATAAGTGACAGCAGAATGCATTACAATTCTTATTACACATATACAGCACAATTTTTCATATCTCTGGATGTACATAAAGTACGTTGACACTAATTTCGTGTCTTCATAACCGTACTTTGGATAATGATGTCTATCACATTCCACCACCCTAGCTAATCCCCTGCCCCCTCCCTTTCCCTCCCACCACTCTGCCCTATCTAGAATTCATCTATTCCCCCCTGCTCCCCTTCCCTACCAGATATATTCTTATCTGTTGAACAAGAGAACCAGGCTTTTATGAACATGATGTTTTGGAAATAACTCAGTAATTTGAACAATGCTATCTTCCTTGCATCTTTAATAAATAGTTGACTGTCTCTTATGTTCCTTGGCACTGACGACATGGCTGTAAACAGTTTTGATGTCTGTCATCTGAGTGTATATATAATGTAGTGGGGTAGAGAATCAAATAGAAGTAGACAACAAATGACTGACAACATTATCTTTGGACAAACCAGGACTCCAATACTGGTTCCTTTTCAATAATAGCTAGGAGACTTTAGGCAAGTTACGCTTTTTTTTTTTTTTTTTTTTAACATTTTTAGTTGTTGATGGACATAATACCTTTATTTTGTTTATTTAGTTTTATGTGATACTGGGGATCGAACTCAGTGCCTCACATGTGCTAGGCAAGTGCTCTACCAATGAGCTAAAACCCCAGCCCTGCAACTTAACTTTTTTAGTTCTTGTTTTTATCTACAAAGTAAGGTAAGAATGGCTCTAACAATTAAACATAAATGCCTAACTAATGCACAGTGCATGGTAAATACTAAAGTTTACTTATTATTATTATAAAAGTAATAATTGTTATGAATATTATAAAAAGTCTATGTACAGGGCCATATAGAATCATAAAACAGAAAGGGCTCATGAGTCAGGAGCCCTCAAGCTGGGCATGGTGGCACACCCCTGTAATCCTAGCAACTGAAGAGGCTGAGGCAGAAGGATGGCAAGATCAAGGCCAACCTCAATAACTTAGTGCTATTTTGTCTCAAAATAAAAAAATAAAAAGGAATGGGGATGTAGTTCAGTGATAAAGTACTTCAGTATAAAAACAAACACTTAAAAGAATAGGAATAGCTAGTGAAGCTAAATGGGATTAGTGAAGAGTGTTGAGTATCTTGGGGACAGGAAATGTGATATGACATGAGATGATGCTGGAAGGCCAAGTCCAAGTTTTTGAAGTTTGTCCAAAATGGCACTGGTAAGCCATTCAAGGGCTGAATTATAAAAGCTGTTGACAGAGAAATTTTGAACTGGTTGTTAAATATAACCATTACCACAAATTGATTTATACAAATTCACAAATAAAATCCCAAAGTAATAAATACTAAATACCCCAATTTCCTAATTATTTTCTAATCTTTTAATGTTATTTATGTCTAGTATCTTTACGGTAGAAATACTACAGCATAGTATATYATATATCTCTTCTCAACTCCATATCAGTTATGTCACATTGGCAGCTTGAAACCAGACTTCAGGAAGTTAGGTAAACATTATAAATCTGGCCTTTCCACTTTTCAGGACAGCCAGTTGTTAAACATTTAGCTACACACCAYTGATTATATTAGATTGGTTAGCAGTGCATGAATGAAAGCACTGAACCAATTAAGAGGCTGTTGTAATAATCAGATCAAGAGGRAATGTGAGAAGTCAAGGGATGCTGACTTCTAAGTATCCAGGTAGATGGTGTTTCCCTTTACTGAAAATCAGAATACAGAARTGGTCTTTGTTTGTGGGATTGGAAATTCACAATGAATATTGAATCTGCTGGACTGGCAGGAGATAAGAGTGTGAAGATCTAGATTAGGGAGTRGGGAAAAAGGCTAGCAGAACAAATCTGAAGATTAGCCAAAGAAGAAAATTACACAATTATTGTCAGTAGTCTAAAAGTATAGAGTATTTCAAGGAGGAAATTATTAGAAGAATGAGTGTGGAGAAAGACATATAGTAAGGGCAGTTTCAGATTATTAAGGAGACTTAGACTGGAATAGGCTAAAAGGTAAGAAAAGTGGAGACTGTAGACTTAGGCAGTATCATTTGTACAGGGGAATAAAGAAGTCTGCTATGTCCTGGGTGGAAAGGCGTTAATTAAATGGTTTTATTTATGAAACAAGAATTTGTTTTTATTATAGTTATTTCTACTTTAAGACCTGAATTACTCAGGATACACATAAAAATTTTAATTTCATGACTAAGTGCATTATCATACATACCATCATCTCTTAAACCATAATTAGTGTCTGGACTTCTCCCTTTCATCTTCCATATCAGATTACCAAATCCAGTAATTTCTCCTCAATCATTTCTCAAATCTGTCCAATTCTATCCACCCCTACTATTAATACCATGCAACTTTAGCTGAGCCACTGCGTAGATGCCTATTGACTACAGTTTAATTTGTGGCTATAAACTCTCACCTCCCCTAATCCAGCACTCTTTGTGTTAGTAAACTAATTGGTAGCATTTAGTTCAGTTGACATTGTAGCAGGATTTCCTTGTGAATGAAATAGTAAGTAAATTAACATTCTATAATATGCTGCTTTCTCATCAAATTCATTTCTAATGATGCTTGACTAGCACCTAATTCTCTAATTGTCCACACTGCAGGAGGCTTAATATGCAAATCTAATCTTGTCATTATTCTTTTTAAACTCTCCATGACTTCTTAAGTACTCTTAGAATAAAATAGAATTCTTAAGTAACATACAGGACCAAGTCTTTCATACTTTGGTCTCATTTCAAATGTCACATCCTTTGAGAAGTGTTCTTTCCAAGGCTAAGTTAGGTCTATSTAAAACAAAAATTTTTTTGGTACAGGTAATTATTTATGTCTTTCCTCCCCATTCAATTCTAAACTCTAGTTCTTAACTTTCTGAATCCTTAACACAATGTCAGGCAATTAGGAATTCAGTATATATTCGATGGATGAATGAATAAAGCACTACTTTTGCATTAAGTAGTTTAAAAACAAACATCACAAGAATTTTTTTTTTTTAATGGTAGCTTTAGTAATGGGTGTGCTTTTAGTAATAGTGAAGTCGGGAAAAGGTTAAAGATATGATTTTCTATATACTGATATTATATAAGTTCTGAGGTATATAAAATCAGAATTGTTTTCATTTAACTTTTTAATATTTCTTTTGTTTGGGCAGGTGGAAGGCACCTGAAGAGAACATGAACATGTACCAAGTACCTATTATATGCCAGGCAGTCTTCAAAGTGCCTTCAAGAGTTCTGATTTGACAGAGTTAAAGAATTTGGATTGCTTTTCCAGCAAACGGAAGGAGAAATAAGGCCTCGGTTCTTTCTATTTCTCTGTTCAAGAAAGCTTACTTATCTTTTGCTCTTTCACTAATTGCTTTATTTTATAGCTATCAATTATGACTCAGTTCCTCCGCAGTTATTGTGTGTGTGTGTGTGTGTGTGTGTGTGTGTGTCTATTAGAAATTTAAATGCTTCCCATGTCAGTTCAGCTAGTGAGAATTCTCCAGTTTTAATGGGAACATAGCAGGCTTTTCAAAAGGCGACTGTTGACTGGAAGGGAGTAAGATCCTCTCCCTTATGGCGTCATTCTTATCAAGACATGGACTAATATTTAGGAGCAAAAAGAGTGGAAAATTAAGGTATCCTGCTGTCACTTTCTCTAAGGAGTAGTCACCGTACAGTACTTGGATTGCTTTTAGAAAACGAGTAAAACTTTCCCTGAGGGAAAAATTGGACAGATTTGAGAAACACAATGGACAAAAATGATGTCTTCCTTGTCACTAGTTGGGAAAGTTGGTAAAAATTAGAATTCTCCTGTTCCTTCTACACAAGCAATACTCAGACTAGCATCTCCCATTTCCGTCACCCCCACTCCCTCCCCAGGTTACCTGTGGAAGCTGATGTTAATGTGCTTGTTGTAGGTAGTTGCACAGCCCGCTGCGGCGCAATTGGTCGGCATTTCCCTTTACCCCTCATTCGGTGCTATCTTAAGCCTGTTCTGAGCTGCTAAGCTTTCTTCCGACAAAGGCTAGACAACTGAGGCAAGCGAAAGGCCCAGCAAGCTTAGTCGCGAAAGCAGGGTGGGAAAATGGGTGTGTATGGAAGGAGGGTTGCAAAGGAGGGTCAACCTTCCCTTTCTCTTTAATAATATGGCGGATTTGCGCCCGCAGAGCCAACCATCCTGGAGCTCTAGGCGCTCTCGTCTGCCTTCACCAATATGGCGGACCCCCCTCCCCGGTTCCCAGAAGGGAGTATCTTTGACAGTGGTCCTCGGAGCAATTGAAAGACAGAGGTGTTTTCCCCTCGGATTACCAAGAAACGTTCTGACATCTACAATAACCAGGTCCGCCCACCCCGGCAAGCACCCAGTTGTCCCAATTCCTAGCCTGGGGTGGGTGTGAACCGTAGACCCGAAGGGCGAACCCGATGACAGGCGAGAGACTACATATCTCGGCGAGCACTGCGATAGTCGTCAGTATCGCGTGAGCTGGGAACCTCGTTTCCTGCGTGCTGTAGGAAGTGACGTCTCGGACACCGCCGCTTCCACTGCCCCCATCTCGCGAGGCGGAAGAGCCCTGATCGCGGAGGAGCAAGGGGGCGCTAGGAGAGGGAACTGGCTTGCGACGGTCCGGCGAGAAAGAGCTGGGGTGCGGGCAAGTTGGGGAGCAGAGCCCGCTAGGTGTCTTGAGTACGGTAAGGCCTCACCTATCGGGTCTGTTAGTAAAGAAAGGAGCCGAGGAGAAAGGCAGTTGTCGGGCGGATCCCGGACGGAGGGCTAAGGTTGTGTGGAAGGTGCTGCTCCCCGGATGGCGACCGCTGATACTTCGGCCCCGGCCTCCAGTGGCCTCTCGCCGAAGGAAGAAGGGGAGCTTGAAGATGGGGAGATCAGCGATGACGATAACAACAGCCAGACACGGAGCCGGAGTAGTAGCAGCAGCAGTGGCGGCGGCCTGTTACCTTATCCGCGGAGAAGGCCTCCTCACCCGGCCCGGGGTGGTGGATCCGGCGGAGGCGGTGGCTCTTCCTCGTCATCGTCCTCTTCTCAGCAGCAGCTGAGGAATTTCTCACGCTCGCGGCACGTCTCTGAACGGGGCCACCTCAGGGGACATAGCAGCTACCGACCCAAAGAACCATTCCGGTCTCATCCGCCCTCGGTGCGGATGCCTTCCAGCTCACTGTCCGAAAGCAGCCCGCGGCCGTCTTTCTGGGAGCGCAGCCACATCGCCTTGGACCGTTTCCGCTTTCGAGGCAGGCCTTACCGGGGTGGTAGTCGCTGGAGTCGGGGGCGAGGCGGGGGTGACCGAGGCGGCAAGCCGGGGGGCAGACCTCCTCTGGGAGGAGGAGCAGGATCCGGATTCAGCAGTAGTCAGAGCTGGCGAGAGCCCTCTCCACCTCGGAAGAGCTGTATCCTTAACGTGGCGATCTGCCCTGGGTGTGTCACTCAAAGTTCCCTTAAGCGTCATTACTAGGTCTATGAGTGTAACTTTTCAGAACCGCTTATTTGTTCTTGTGTCAGTATACTTAAAGTAAGTTGTTCTTTGGTAATTTCCATGTGTCACCCTATAGCAGTGTTTCTTAGATTGCTTTATTGGGTAGATTGCTTTTTAACATTAAATGTGTTATGGATTGAAAGCTATAGAATCAAATACGATCAAATCAGTATTGTAAGAAGCACAAGTTTTCATTAGCATTTTTTTAAAACTAGTACAGTAAGTATTTCAAGTGAATTTGACTTAAGATTGTTGGATGAAAAATAGTAAACAGTTTGGGGAATGCTGTTACTTGAATTGTGTGCACTTTGACATTGGAAATTGTGAAGTCTGATTCGGCATAATCCTATCATTCTGATAATTCCTTTTTTAAAAGCCTTTTTTGAGTTATTCTTTCCCACTGCTACCTTTTAAAGTGGAAAAGAAAAAGGAGGGGGGGGGCTCAGTGTCTTTTCCTGTGTTCACTTTTGGGCATTTTATAACTCGCAGTGCTGTCTAAATGTGGACTACAGAGAAAAATAAACTTTGCCAGCATTTTTATTTTAATATATTAGTTGTGTCGATTATGGAAAGACAGAAGGAAAACAGCAAAATATCTTAAGATTTTATTTCCTCTGAATTTATTTTCAGTGATTTTTAACATTGCAGAGTTAGAATTGATACTAAGAAATTAATCACCTCAAGTTTTCTTGTTTTATAGAACTGTGTCTTGACTCTGTGGTAACTGTAAAATAATTTACTAAGGATTTTCATGACTAATTGTAATTCTTATGGTGCAATGATTTTAATATTTTCATTTATTCAAAGTTTATATTTAATAGTTTTTTAATATTTATTTTTTAGTTGTAGTTGGACACAATACCTTTATTTTATTTATTTATTTTTATATGGTACTGAGTATTGAACCCAAGGCCTCGCTCGAGCGCTCCATTGATGAGTCACAACTCCAGCCTAGTCTTCATTATGAAGTTTATATATAACAACACTTAATTGGAAAACCTTTAAAATTATTTTTATAGAATACTTAGGGTCAGAATGGTTTTTCCCAGGTGTCATGATGAAAGGGGAAAGACAGGTTTAGGTTAAAAAAAAACAAAACAGGTTGTGGTGTTGGTGCACTGAAAAAGTTGTTTCTGCAACTAAACATTGGGTTAGGGGTATTTTAAAATTGTTTCAGAGAAAAATCATGTAGGTATTTAACTTTTTTTTTTAATTGTTGAGGAACCTTTAATTAATTAATTAACTAATTAGTTAATGGTGCTGAGAATGGAACCCAGTGCCTCACACAATGCTAGGCAAGTGCTCTACCAATGAGCTTAGAAAACCTGTGCCCAAGATTTTTTTTTTCCTCTAGATTTGTTTATTCTGAATCCAAATAAAACAAAACAACAAAACAACAACAACAAAAAAAACCTAAAGGGCTATTTAAGGATAGAGATGAAACTGTATTTTTGTTGGAGAGACAAATGAAAGTAAATGTAGCTTTCTAAAAAGGTTCAAGTTGAGTTATATAAAAAGTATTATGGGCACTCAAAGCTTTTTAAAAATCTATTTTGTATAAGAAAATGGGGGAGAACAGAGTGTTCACCCACCTCCTATCTTTGTTTAGGATCCTGCCAAGTTGCTTAGGCTGGCCTCAAACTTGCAATCCTCCTGCCTTAGCCTCCCAAGTCGCTGGGATTATAGGCATGTGCCACCACACCCATCATCTTTGTCTTTCTTTCTGCTCATTTGGTACCAGTTTGGGCCTCTGCCATTTACCTTTGCTAATTTTTCTGTTTACATGCTTTTAGTAATAAATAGGCATATGGAATTGCAACAAAAATATAGGAAAGCATCCAGTCTTCCTGTGTGACTGATTTCTGTAATAACTTGTCAGAAACGAGCTATCTTGCTGTTTTTCCTTTCCCAGATGCTGTACTTTTAAGAAAAGGACACTTGTTTTGATATTCTGCTCATTGTTTTTCTAATGAAATATCATTAATCCATCCTAGAGGTGGTGGTTTTTATAAGATTTTGACAAGGAAAATATAGTTTCCAGCTACTTTTGTGTAATGTGAGCAAACAAAATTTGTAATACAAACCTTTAAATTCTTTTAATATCAGTGTTGTACTCAGTTTAATTCATATTTCCACTGTGTGATTGTAAAAATGCTTTTCATTTTACAAATATTGTGTAAAGAAAGAATGAAGGTAATTCTATGGCTCACTTTAGTAATCTACAAATGAGGTAGTCTGAATATAGATTTTTTTGGGGGGGGCGGTGATAGTTTCTTTTTTTGTAATTATGAAGATATGCTGGTTTCAACTTTAAAGAAACAGAATAAACCAGAACCTATTGCAACTCTTCACTTATTCATTTTTATTTTTTATAATGATAAGACACTTTGTCAGTCTTAGCCTAAGTCTCCCTTGGTTGACTACTGTTTTAAACTTTCAAATTGGATGAGAGCTAACATAATTAGGCTAGTGTGTCTCATCAGTAAAGTCTTTGAATTTTCAGCTGTAGCAGAATAGGTTGAATAGCGGTCCTTTTTTTTTTTTTTTTTTAAAGATAGATTTTAATACCTGTTTTTTGAAAGCATTTCTTTTTTAAAAGTTCTGTTAGAAATTAGATTTAAGAAGCTTAAAATTAGATCTAGTAAGTGTTGGTTTGTCCTAGCTATATATTGTATAGACAGAGATAGGATATTAGTCTTGAAGGAGGTTAGTTACAGTCATAACTCAATTCTGTTTCCTCATTTTTGTGTTCTTTAGTTATTTTATATATTCTTTTGTTAGAGTGAATCTTTCCCCTTTGCAATTGTTTCCAAGGTCTTTAATTTTATTTTTATTACTCATTTGTGCCTTTAGATGGCCCCATTGAAAAGCCAGCTATAAATGTAGATAATTGCAGTGTTTATGTAAAAAGAGTACATAGGAACGGGAAGGGAAGGATACAATAGTTTTGGCTTCACAAGGGTGGTGACTTGAATTGGGGTCAAGTAGAAACCTAGATAATAAAGCTGCATAAATGAGATAAGCAGGAAGAAGGTAAGACTGGAAAGGTAAGCACAGGTCAGATCATAAAAGCATTGTATTTATGCTAAGGATTTTGGACTCTTAAATGAGATTTATGCAAGGGGAGAGATCTTATTAGATTTGTGTTTGTATCCATACCATGGCAGCAGTATGGATCATCGTTTGTGGGTGCTAGAGAACCCAAAAGTCTTAAGAGGCTGAACTCCTCACCTGTGGCAGCTAAAACTACAGAAGTACATTAGAATGTTCCTAATGAAAAGAGAATCTTACTAGAGTTCACTGGAGAGCACATTATTAGTTGGAGAGAAAGAAATCATGAAGCTTTAAAAAGGTAAGAGAAAACAGAAGGACAAGTGGAAGTTATGTAAGCCAAGAGAGCAATGGTTTATAGTGTCAGATGTTACAGAGAGGTCAGGTAAAGTAAGACTTGAAAACACTGGTGGATAAGCACAGCCAGAACAGCTTCTTTTGAATTATTGAGACAAGCCAGATTCTGTTTGGTTGGAGCATAGGTAAGAGAGCCTTTGAAAAACTTGTATTCTTTTAAGAAATTTAGTACTGAAGAGATCAGAGAACAAAAGATTTGTTACAGTAGTTTTGCTGAAGATTTTCAATTGTAAAGCTTATTTATTTTCTAATATTTGATGTTGGTTCTCATTCTTGGATTGGTCATCAGAGGAATTTAAAAATCTTTGCTGGCTGCTTGTCCTGTTGCTGTATTTAGGAGGTATAATATTATATCCTAACCCTTACAAAATGATCTGAAAATGATTTATTATATTAAAACCACAAAAAGTGTTCGTCTTTTTCCTTGGTAATTTCCAGGCTGGAAAAAAGGTATAAAAATTCTCACATGTATGAATTATTTGAAATTAGAAAATACATTTTGAGTGCTATTTAGGGATTTTCCTTATTTTTTATTTGCAACTTACAATTATTCAAGTTGTGAATATGATGAATGTTAGCATC